CACATTTATAGCTGCTTTCCTTTTCCCATCTAATTGCATTGGCTAGTACTTCCTAAAGAGTATTGAAAATAACAGAGGAGACGAAAGTCTTCTTTTCTTCTTGAATTTTATGGGATTGCTTCTGGTGTTTGGTCATTGAGCATGATATATTGAACTTCACATAGCCGTCCTGCTTCTCATTCCTCAGATCTCAGCTCAAAGGTGATGAGTTCAAGGAGGCTTTTCTTAACTATATGGTCTAAAATCCCTAACACTCACTCCCTTGTGGGTCTCTAATTTACTACTACCTTGGTTTATTTTCTTCACAATCTATATCTGTGTTTATTGTGCATTATCTATTATGAATTTTTTATGCATTTACTTTTTCAAATTATTGTTTTGCCTTCACTTAAATGTTAGCTTCACTAGAGCAGGAACCTGGTCTTGTTTTTGTAGACCTAGTACCTAGTACCTTTGTATTTCTTGATCAGTGAACACTAGACTTCCCTGCTGAGAAAAAAATGAACGCACTTCTATTTCCTCCCATCTTCTCACCGTGTCTCATTTTATTATTTCAACATTGCCACATTTTACTACACTAACATACCATATTTCCCATCGTTGTGTAGTTGCATATGTAAATTGCTTCCATATCACCAAACAGTGCTTTTATCAACAGTCTCCATTCATCTCTTGGTTAGATTTTGTCAGTTATTGTTTTCTTCAAGGTCTCATGAGTGCAATAATAGTCTGACCCTTTCATGTTTGGGAGTCTCTTTATATTTGAACAATTTACTAAGTAAAATATTTGGGTCACAAAACATGTTTTAGACATTTTTCAGAACTTCATAGACATTGCTCCATTGTCTTTTGTCGGGAAACGTTGTTCAAACTGGCATACTTCTCTCTTCCCTTCTTCTGCTAGTGGGGTTAGAGGTTGTATTGGCTATTTGCTTTTACTTTTGGGTTCATTTTTCTCCCTTTTCTTCCCTTCTCAGTATTGCAGGAACTATCCCAAGCTCTCCAGCCCTCTTGCTTCCTTCCGGGAAAGTTCTGCCAGTGTAGGGAGAACTAGAGGAGGCAGGGGGCGGCCTGGGTTTCTCCCCCTCTCTGCTTCCGATGGCATCTTAGTGGCTTTGTCTTGCCCTTGGATCCAGCTGCCTTCATGCTGACCCTCTGTCCATACTCCCAGCTCTCTCCTTTTGTCATTTCCTCCAGTCAGGCCTGCTTTGGTTTTATCCTCCACCAGTTTCAAATTCCCACCTTTTGAAATACCTAAACTGGCTTCCATTTTCTGCTTGGACCCTGATTAATTCAGGGGTGATTAGATGTGCTAAACTATATCAAATTTTCTATCTTCCTTTCTCTCCAGCCATCACCTTTCAAAGAGTATAGCACAGTTTTGTGCTTCTTTGTTTTGCTATTTGTGGAGGAATGTTTTGGCTCTTTAAATACTTGTGTTTTATTAAGCATTGGGGGCTATTTCATCAGCTGTCTTCTCCTGCTATGCATTATCAGCATTTTATACAGCGTCTTTAGAATTCTTATGCTTGTCAAACAGGTAGAGAGAGCTGTAGTCACAGATTCTGCATTAGAATTTTACATATTTGAGCTCTCACCAAAAATGTTTCTATCACTTCAACAGTTTTAACTCATAAAGATGATAAAATGTCAAGGCATCAAAATGAAAAAAAAAAAGTGAAATTTAAGCAAGAGGCTTATTGACTTGAAAGCTTAGACTGACTGCTCAAGTTCTCCTCTTTAATCATGTTTTTTATTTTTTAAATAAAAACATTTTTGAAAAAATATTAAATACAAAATTGAGCAATCTTACAGAGCAAATATTTTAATGTCTACTTCATTCACTCATTCATGGAAAAATATTTGAGCACCCTCTACGTGCTGATTTTTCTAGGTGATGTGGATATACAATACACAGAGATAAAAATTATTGTCCTTGCATTCTGCTTTTCTCATCCAAGGTAATAACCCCAGAACTACTGAGAAGGAAAGAAAACTTATTGTGATCCTAACACACACACAGGGTTACCAAATTAGGCAATTAACATTAGGCACCTTAAAAAAGGACAAAGATGCCTGTTTATGAAGTACATACAATGGCATCAAGTACCTGTCCAGTCAATCTTCTTACCTCTTTCACAAAGGCAGGGAATTCTCACATCCCTGCCATTCTCCTATAGGACAGATTATGTGTAGTACAGATGTGCTATTAGTGACACATCTTAGAATGTGATCCAAGTGTTGCCTGTCTACACTGTTGTCCTAAAAAGCCAAATGTCTGGTTGGATGTGAAGGTGTCACCTGAACCCAAGAGATGGGCCTCTTGAAGCATCCTAGCACAGTCCCCAACTCCCAGGCCTCACTCAGTCATGCCCTTCAGAAGCTAGGGCCAGTTCCTGCCGGTACATCTCCCCAAACTCATCACAGCAGAAGTAGCATCTTGCTTCTCATTTGCGTATTTAGTTCTCAAATGCGTTCACAGGCAGCTCTAATTATTACTGGTTCAGTTGATTAATCTCGCTGAGAGAGACCACATTTCATAGTGCTAACAATTAAAACAGGTTTGGAGTTAGGTTTTGGTAACCACTAGTAAACTAATAATTTCTTAAAAGAAAAAAAGCTGGTTGCTGTTCCTTTCCTATCTCCCAAGGTGAGTAGACTAAAATCAAACCATGAAGAAAAAACTTTCAGTAATCTTTGTAAATTTTAATTGATTCTGTCCATAGCCCTTTAACATTCATAATTTATCCAACAAATATTTATGGAGTACTTATGTATCAGACACTGTTCTTTCGAAGAAACCTAGAGTGAAGAAATAGCGATGGTCTTCTCTTAGATGGGAGATGAGGAAAAGGTCTCTTTGAGGTGACCTTTGATAAGAAACTGAATGGACAGCAAACTGTCCAAGTCTCCAACAACAGAGCTTTCCAGCAGAGAGAAAATGCAAAAAACCCTTTAGTGGGATTGTAGTGAACAAGGGAGAAAACTAGTAGATGCAACAAGATTGTGATATTCAGGGGCCTGAACACACTAGCCACAGTAGGAGCTTCGGATTTTGTTCTGAGTGTGAAACCGCTGGAGGATCACGAACAGAACGATGTGGTGTGGTTTACATTTCACCCTGGCAGCTGTATGTGAACAGATTGTGTATGTGTGGTGGTGGTGAGAACAACAGACGGCAAGTTAGGTGGTACGGCAGTGGTCTGGTTCAAAGATGACCGTGGATTGGACTGGAGTGGTAACACGGGAGGTAGTGAGCTCTCAGATTCAAAAACAAAACTTTGAAGGCAGAGCTTGTGGGTCTTGATGATGGATTAAATACAGAGTCATAAGAGAAAAAAATAAAGGATAACTCCTCTGTTCGGGTCTCAAGCAACTGGGGGGGAATGATGGTGTCAATTATTGAAAATGGGAACACTGGACAATAAAGTCTGAAGCATAAACCAAGATTTCTTTTCCACCGAATTGTCATGTTAAGGTTAAGTACCTAAACTGACCATTGTTGGGAGCTCAAGAAAGAGATCAGGACTGGAGATAATTCGGATAAAAATGAACTAAGAGTGAGACTCTTAGAAGCCAAGGGCCTGGATGAGATCAATCTAGGCAGACTGCAATCTGGGGCACCCCCAAAGTCAGACATCAGGGAAAAAGAAAAAGGATACAGTAAATTATGACAGTCTAAAGAATCCCAACTTTAAGCCAAAATTTTCATTGCAATAGTTCAATTAAGATGTTGAGACTATTGGGGCCGGTGCTGCGGTAGAGTGGTTAAGTTCGCGCGCTCCGCTTCAGCGGCCCCAAGTTTCGCTGGTTGGGATCCTGGGTGCGGACATGGCACCGCTCATCAGGCCACGCTGAGTCGGCGTCCCACATACCACAGCTAGGACTCACAACTAAAATATACAACTATGTACTGGGGGGATTTAGGGACAAAAAGCAGAAAGAAAAAAGAAGATTGGCAACAGTTGTTAGCGCAGGCCAATCTTTAAAAAAAAAAAAATGTTGAGACTATTGAAACATGACTACCATTAAAATTTTAACAGTAATCTGGTATTTTTAGTTTCCTTGAATATAAATGCAAATGCAAATTATGCATTCTAAGGCTTTCAAAAGAGACTGTTCTGAAATAACTGCACAATATAGTCAAAACATATTTATTACTTTTTAGTGTCATTTTGTACACTCCAGTACAAATACAAGAATATAGCCATATTTACAGATATTGAAAAGCAATCTGTATATTCAAACCCTGTATCTAAGTACAGTAGCTTTAAATTCTGAACTACAAGAGCTCTGGTTTGCAGAGTGAACTCCTTCACGCCCTGCCTCCTCCCCTTTGAAATAATCTCTTGAAGCTAAGGCTGTGTTTAAACAGAATAGATTGCTCTTGAAATGGGCTAACAGTTCATTCTCCGCAGTTTTAAGCACCTCCTTTTCAAGATTTTACAAGTGTGAAACATATATAAAATTTAGAGGATAAAACCATTCATTTGGATTATTAAAAGAAGCATGTCTTTAAAAAGGGTGGAAGCATGCAGTTTTCAAGGTGCTTAAAATCTGGTTATAGTCCAAGTTTTAAAATTAAAAGTTAATCAAACTAGTTAAACAGAAAACAAAGGGAAAAAAGGAAGCTGGTTCTTCAGGGGAAATACTAACAGGCTTACCTTCACAAAATATATTTTATTACAGTATCAGTTTTTAAGGTCTGAATGTAATACTACTAATGTCCTTTTTAAAACAAAAATCAAAACCCCGAGGTTTCCGAAGGGCTATTCATATTTGTTTGCAAATGAACTGAACCAAGGTGCCCACCAAAATGAGATAGGTGTTCAAAGCCAAGGCAACAGGCCAACTAGACAGTCTCAGAGATTATGCCGATTTTAATAAATATCCCCTGGTTAACTCAAAAACGTTAGTAGCTGGACACCCATGTCTGTATTAAAGTGAAATATTTAATATGATTTACTAAAGAATAATAAGTGAATCAAATATTGTAAAAATATTTCCAAAAACTTTTAATTTTGTTTAAAAATTCACCAAGAAATTTCAAATTAGGAATCTTCTCCTATATATACGTGAGCAATTCATTTAGGAATGTAAACATTTGTTAAAGCAAAGGAATAAGGTGACATAGATCAATAAACTATTAGCAAGTCAAATTCAAATTTACCTTAAATCACAAGTCAAGCTGTTGTCTGACCAAGTCAAGCTGCTATCTGATCAGAAAATATTTGCATACTACATCACAAATTGCTCACTTCTTTCCCGGAAAGACAGAGGACTGCATCTGGCTTAACATAGTTCTTCAGTTTCATTTACATGCACTAACCAAGTCCAGCAAATGTTAACAATCTCACAGGTATGAACATTTCATGACGATAATTTATGACATGTCTTTTCTTACATTTTGAAAGTACTCTCAAGTTACAATAAAAAAAAAATCAGTTGCCAGTATAAGATTTTAATTCCTCTCAATTAAACTGGAACATTTTTTGTATTTTAGAAAATATCCATACTATTGCTTACAGTTTACTTTTTAAAATTAAAAAGCCTGAGCATTATCTTCTATACTTTAAATATGCTTAAAGCACAAGAGCAATTTCAGAAGTTTAGTATTCCATAATGTAATCACATTAATGTCTATCATCACAAAATAAGCCCTTGGTGCTGGCAGTTCTGAAAGCACATGAATACATCTGCCTCAACAGGAAAAAAAAGTCTCTAACTCAGGTAAGATTTTCAAATTAAAAGATTTTTCTGCATAAAGAAACCCTTGTTATTTGATATAATACTGGCAGTGTCATGCTAAGGCCATGTGACCAATATTTTAGCAAAGAAAAAAAAAGCCAAGGTAATTTTATAGTAGCAATAGTTTCTTTTTTTATTTTAATATACTTTAGGAAACAATATACAAAGCTGAGCTTTCCCGCCATTTCCAGACAACAGCAGGAAGCTCCAATTACACAAACTGAGCGTTTTGTGATGGCTAAGAACAGGAGTCAGCACCAGACTCGAACAGTTAGCTACAACACAAGCACCCTTCAAAACGAAATGTCGTAACAGCGAGACAGGTAACCAAGGCTTAACGAACGACAACCACTTGGGAAGTGACTCAATCATTCTTGTTGAATTTCATATTTCATTAAATATCTTATACACAATTTCCTGTTAATATGCTTTAAACAAAACCTCCCTTAAGGAATTATTTCAATTAAGTATAAATAGTCAACAAGAATAGTTCTGATAAAGAATCCCCAGGTAGTTCAAATTCTAATATGCATTGACCGAAGGAAAAGAAAAATAACAATTTTTGTTTGTTTTAACATGTTTATTACAACAGATACAATTCACATCTGACTAGCTTTGTTTCCTCTTTCCCCTCCCACAACCATGTTCATTGGGCCATTTCCTCATAAGCGAGCAATCCATGTACTTTCAGCACACATGCCCAGCAGTACTTTTCAGTCCATTCTAAGAGGGTGCAAATGGATTTCAATAATTTATACAAACAGTGGGTTATGCTCAATCACTGCAAGTTGAAGCTACTGTACAGAGGAATGAAAGGTTATAGAAAAGTGCCATAGCAACAGTGCCTTAAGAAGGGAGAAAAAGAGGAGCTTTAAAAAATGGACAAATCAGATCGAGGATTTCAGAGGGAAATGGAACACACAGGAAATGAAAAACATTTCTCTGCAAAACAAATGGAGAAGCACTGCTCTTGATCAGGTGCAAGTGTGAAAACAGTTGTTTCATGATATTTTGTACACTGCCGATATGGTTCAAAATCGTATCCTTAGACACAGATCGCCTGGCGCTTGCACTGAATTTTTGAAAATGCAAGATTTCTGAATGATAAATTAACCCCCCAAATTTTTTTTTTTTAAAAAAAGCTAATTTTGCAGACAGGTTTACATGTAAAAGGCTAGGTATTTAGCCACCTCAGCATTGATTAGTTTTGGATGTCTAAGCTCTGTTACACATGGCTTCCCATGGCTTCACTCTACAAAACATATTTACAACGTGAAGAATACATCTACAAGAAATCTACATTTCAAGGGTTTTACAAATCAATCTTGTATCTTTCCCCTGAATTGACTCTCACAGACCCCGTCCCCTTGTCATTTCCTTTGCCCAGCTTAACGGTCCAAAGTCTACTTAAATGCAGCTCAAAAATGTTAAGATTGGGCAATAGATTTACAGTTCCTGTACTCAAAACCATGTGCAATTATTCACATCTTCACACCATGAAGGAATTCTGATTTTTTAGCTTTTCAAGTTCCTTAATTTGTTGTCTCAAAAATAGTATCCTGAAAAATAAAAGAAGGCATTAGAACCTGTGTTGTCATATAAACGTTACAGAAAAACCAAATTTTTAATGACAGTATCTTATGAATAACTACTAGTTAAGACAAAACAATTAAAAACTGATTAGTCTACAGTTAAGACAAAATAATCATTGAATATATGTAGTGCTTCACTGTATCATCACACACACACACACACAAAGCAGCAGATATTAAACATGAGATAAACCTACATTACATGTTTTCTGGGCCACAATACAGTAAATCTAGGATTAACCAGATGCAAGCAGCTCAGTGTTTTGAACAACTCTTGTCAATATAAATGTAGGTTCATAAAAATGGAGCCAAGTCAAAGTCCAACTGACAAGTATATTTAAAACAAAAGATAAAACACAAAATCCATAGCTAACTAGATTTCCATAAACTTCAGAAAATCACTCCTTTTCTGACCCCTCTCTTCTGTGAACTATGCCATTTATTGCCTGTAGCAGTGAATTAGGCATAATCATATATTAGCTTGATATCGTGTATACTGTTTCAATAAATTGCAATAAATAACAACATAATTTCCTAAAAGTCAAAACATCTGTTTAGCAAGCCAAAATGAACTTTTATGCTTGTTAGAACTACTTCCAGGGGCTGGCCCAGTGGCGCAGTGGTTAAGTGCGCATGTTCTGTTCCGGCAGCCTGGGGTTCACCGGTTTGGATCCCAGGTGTGGACATGGCACAGCTTGGCAAGCCATGCTGTGGGCAGGCGTCCCACATATAAAGTAGAGGAAGATGGGCATGGATGTTAGCTCAGGGCCAATTTTCCTCAGCAAAAAGAGGAGGGTTGGCAACAGATGCTGGCTCAGGGCTAATCTTCCTCAAAAATAAATAAATAAATAACTTTTTTTTTTTTTAAAAAAAGAACTACTTCCAGAGCAATCCTAGAGTAAAAACTTCCTAGTTGATATTCAAAAAGTACCTCTAGATATTTTAGTAATTGAAATAAAAATTTTCTTTTCCAAGTTCACTATAAATCCCAACTTGGTTATACTAAATATTTGTGGTTTCAAAACAAGATTAACTCCACCTATGACCCAATGACTTATACAGACAGGACGTGAAGCCACTGAAGTTTGTCCTCATACTGTAATAGGCACTTAAAAAAATATCTATATGATTTATCAGGGTGTAGATATCCTACCTAAGTTATAACAGATTAAGAATTATGAGACAATAAGAGTTCAGATACAAACAATAAGAAAACACTAAGATATACATCATTAGAACTGTTGGGACAATTAAATCCCTACTGCAATTTCCAAGATACCAGTGACACAAGAACAATGTAGACAGTAATTTGAAATTTTAACTAAAATAAGTACCCTCACCAGTAGAGTGCTACCCTCAATTCAAGAGGGGACCCTTTATAATGAGTTGATATCAGCAATTCACTTCTCAAATATTACTGTATCTTAAAGAGTTATAAGAAAAAAATCCAATGAAGCATTTAACATGGGTTAAGAGAAAAAATCTAGATGCCATTCACCAGGAATATTATTAAATTATGGAAACAAAGTTAGATAGCATTTTGGAATATGATACAATATACTAAAAAGAACTTCAAATTTCAGAAATAAAATTTGATTTTTCAGTTCAATTTAAGATATAGATATAGATATATATATATAGATAGATATATATATATATATATATATAATGCTAAGAAACATAAAAATTTATTTCACCAAAAAGCTTACCTTTGCTCTCGCAAAGTTGCTTGAATTTCACATACTCGGACTAGAGATCTTAAATTTTTTAACTCAGTACAAATTTCTGACATGTGAACACTTCCCATGTTATGGGCTTCTTCTCGCAATCTCGATGCCTATAATAAAGAAATGAAAATCACACAAAATATGTCACATTCACATACAAAAAATAAAACATTAAATTTCTGAGTAGAACTTTACACAAAGATTACAGAATCATCTTTTTCCCTTTAAGTCCACAAAAATGGGGTGAATCTACTGCGAGTTGTTCTTTTTTTTTAAAGATTTTATTTTTTCCTTTTTCTCCCCAAAGCCCCCCGGGGTACATAGTTGTGTATTCTTCGTTGTGGGTTCTTCTAGTTGTGGCATGCAGGACGCTGCCTCAGCGTGGTCTGATGAGTAGTGCCATGTCCGCGGCCAGAATTCGAACTGACGAAACACTGGGCCGCCTGCAGCGGAGCGTGCGAACTTAACCACTCGGCCACGGGGCCAGCCCCCTGCGAGTTGTTCTTTTAAAAAACTGTCTCTAATGGTGGAAGGTACTTAAGATTTCCCCTTTAGGTTTCTTAAAATATTATTTCCAATCTCAGAAAAGTACAGCACTAGGACAGGAGGACTAATGATGTGTAGTTAATAAAAGATGCTGGGGGGCTGGCCCAGTGGCACAGTGGTTAAGTTTGCACGCTCCACTTTGGCAGCCTGGGGTTCGTGGGTTTGGATCCCTGGCACAGACCTACACACCGCTCATCAAGCCATGTTGTGGTGGCATCCCACATATGAAATAGATAAAGACTGGGGCTGGCCCCATGGCCGAGTGGTTAAAGACACATGCTCTGCTTCAGCAGCCCAGGGTTTTGCCAGTTTGCATCCTGGTATGGACCTAGCACCTCCTTAAGCCATGCTGAGGTGGCGTCCCACATAGCAGAGCCAGACGACCTACAAATAGAATATACAACTATGTACTTGGGGGCTTTGGGGAGAAGAAGAAGAGGGGAAAAAAAAAATGGAGGACTAGGTACAGATGTTAGCTAGGTTACCAATCTTTAAAAAAAAAAAAAGCAAAAGAGGAAGACTGGCACATATGTTAGCTCAGAGCCAATCTTCAGGGGAGGGGGGATGTCAGGGGGTAGGTGGGGGTAGGGTGGCAGCTGGGTCAGCCAAAGCAAGTTCAGGTATAACACTGATAAAAGGGCCTCACTGTATTCACATTATCATGAGATACACAACCTATCTCTGTAAACTTACAGAACACTTCAGACAAGACAGTTATCTGATAAACAGGAGAAGCCAATGGCAGTAACTGGAATATCCTAAGGTCCCTCAGCCCATAGCAAAAATGCTTCCTAACTTCTAGTAGCTAGTCTAGTGGGAGAGTCATAAGATTAACAGTACTAACAGATTCTAAAAGTACCAGAGTGGCAGGCTGAATGGAAAAAGCACACTGGCTTTCAGCCACATCACTGTATCAACTGGGTGAATTTGGTATCATGTATTTGGTCTTAAGGGCCTCATTGGTAAATGGGAAAACTCATTATTGCATTGGTTAGCAGTTTTAAGAAGTGGAGAAAATTAACATAAAGCCCTTAGCACAGAGTTAAATGCTAAGCACTTGATAATGGTAGGTATAACAATAATTACATTAAAATATTTTATGTGAAACCACAAAAAGTTACCTCATAAATACCCTAGAAGTACCTATCAAATATTTTATAAAATGACTATAATCTAATTAGAAATTAGTGGTTTTAAATATAGGTTGAATTCAGTGGTCCAGATTAGATTTTCTAACAGTAGAATTAAGATATATTTTGCTAGTCATCTGAAGGTAAAGCATCTGCTGTGAATCATGTAACATACCTGCTTCTCCGCATGATCAGCAGGCCATCCTTGAACATGTTTGATGAGATTTTCATTGAAGTGTGCTGCTAGCGTAGGTGTTAATGAACACGTAGGTCGGGCAGATGAATTCTGTGGTACAACTGCTGCATTTGATGCATTACTACTAGAAGTATGATTTGGACCAGGTGATGGGCTTCTCTGGCTACTGGAAGAGAAAACACAATTGTATGTGTAGTATGTTTAAAAGTAGTTTCTGAGTATCCTAGAAATTGTCAATACTTTCTAATAGTTTAAAGATACCCAAATTCCTAAGAAAAATTTATTTTAACATCAAATAAATAGAATTTAAAATCCAAAGTATATTTTTATCATACATTCGTCAATACACTTTTGGGGGAAAAAAAAGACACCTTTAAATACTAATGTCAGAGTCAAATTCAAATAACAGTACTCTCCAAATGTGAGAGCAGAACCTGCTGATTTTGAATACTGCAAACACTAATAAGAATGTAACTAAGAAAAGGTCACATTTTAACAATTGTAGATATACGGCACATCTGAATATTATATCTTAAATACATGTAGATAAGGAAGGGAAAAATATGTTGTCTTTGTTTAAACAACAGAACAAAGTACTGAATCAGAGGATGAAGTAATGTGAAGCAAAACACAGGCATATCATAGGATAGCAATGAATGAGTTTAGTGGCAAAATAACACCAAAAAAGTAACACTCTGAAATTGGTTATCTTCTTTTAAAACTGTATGGTTTGGGCTAGGGTTTGGGGAATATGGTAGTGAGAACCAAAAATTTAATCACCCAAGTTGATTTCCTACCTGCTTCACCAGACTTGGCTCTGAATGAATTTCAGTTATTTCCAAAAACTAAATCTCCCAAAGGATGAAGAGTTTTCATCACTGAGGATATTTAAAATAATACTGCAGCCTCTAAAGACAATTTAAAAGAAGAATTTCCCAAAAGTGTTCTGAGCAATGGCAACATTGCTGGAGTAAGTAGACAGCTTCCCAAGGTGATTATTTTGAAGGGAACAACTCTCATTTGGATGTGTAAGTTCTGAAATGCTTGTTTAGAAAACAACAATAAAAACAACAGTTGAATTATTTTGCCACCTCATAGCAAGAAATAAAAATAGGAAAATCAATCAAATGAAAATCATTTGAAGTTGTATCGTTAATTAATAAAGAACAGGGACAACAAAATACAGCTCTAACTGACAAGCAATCCGTATAGGGTCAGAGTTGAAGCTACCAGGAAAGCTGACACATACCAGTTGGAAAATACTGGCCCATGTTTTAGGCATGAGATCTTTGACTTTGTCAATATACTCAAATCTAAAACTGCTATGAGGTTAAAAATGATGTCATTTACAACAAAGTATTATAAAATCATGTGCCCTCTTTATGCAAGTATCATATACTTTGTTACTCCCATATTTCACTAAGTGAAATTCTAAAGAAAGAGACACTTTCTTCAAAATAACCCAAGCTTCACTCCTAGAGACAATAATCTACTTGTAGATGAGATCTGTCCTTGTAGATTTTATAACACAAAACTAAATTAGGCTATCCATGGATTCTTCCAAGACCAAATTCTATTATACACACATATTTTAATATTCGAACAATGCAGCATGCCATATTAAGGAAAAAATAATGTTATCTCAACACAGAGTATCAACCTACTTTGAGCGCTGAAGACTTCGAGGAGAGACAGGTTCATGACCTTGCTGCTTGTCAGCAGTTACAGGCTGCTGTGTGGCTGATTGTGAAACTGGTCCTTGCTTGACTACTGGAGTACTGACCTGAAATTTCAAAATCTAGTGAGATGGGCTTCTATTTATCACACAGGGCAAACAGCATGGAAACCAGATAAAAGCAAAAGTTCTATCAATGAAACTTTCCAATTATTTATATTCTTCAGTGATTTTTAAGCTAACGAGTCGTCCTAATTCTGTTTCATAATAAGATTAATATTCGTGATACAGACATATTTAATCATGTAAACTGTCATTTACATATCCCAAATCCACATACCTCTCCAAATGTAGTTAATAATCTTAAAAACACTGTAAAATCTAGACATTTAAAAAAGTAGAATCAAATGAGTTTCCAAAGGTGGTGTACTGGGAAGAGAGTCAAGATCTGAGACTTAGATCTAGTTTCTTCATACAATGGCCCAGGGGCACCAAATTACTTTCTGAGCACACCAGCATAAGAAAACAGTTCTCCTTGGGGCCGGGCCTGTGGCTGAGTGGTTAATTTGGCGCGCTCTGCTTTGACGGCCCAGGGTTTCGCCGGTTCGGATCTTGGGCGCGGACATGGCACCGCTCGTCAGGCCACGCTGAGGTGGCATCCCACATGCCACAACTAGAAGGACCCACAACTAAAAATACACAACTATGTACCGGAAGGCTTTGGGGAGAAAAAGGAAAAATAAAATCTTAAAAACAAAACCCCAAAACACCCAGTTCTCCTGATTTTGAGCCCAGTTTTCTTTACAATACACTATAATACCTCTTCTGATTTACTGTTACTTCTCTATCAATAATAATAAATGTTACTATATCATGCAAATACAGCTGCTTGAATCCCAACCACATAAGTAGAGAAATGTATAGACTGCTCTATCAAAGAATGAGCCTACATAAAATTCAACTTGAATGGTTTTCATAGAGATGTTACCCTAGAGAGGCAGACCAAGAGGTCTATGACTGCCAGTGGGGATACATACACTATTGATAGTCAGATGCCGCAGAGAGAAAACAAGCGATTTTAAGTCTCAAAGTAAGGCACAAAGGCAGATAAAGCCAGCTGTGATTAAGTCACATCCTCCGGCGGCAGAGTTTTTTGTTTGGGGTTTTTTCTGGATGATTAATATTCTCTCAAACAAATGTGGATAGGCCTGCTACTTCTGAATATAAAAGAACATGTTCTTTTATAAAAAACATTTTTATAAGTTCTACATAAGATCAAATGTCCACTTATTTTTAAAAATGACTACAAAAGGTTTTTGGATGTAAAACTGATAGCCATCTGCTTCAGGGATTTGAAATGCTAATTTTATAAATGACTGTAAAACTAACACTACCACTTAGTTCACTTTTAGTCATCATTTATTGTACTCTTAAGATACCACCCTGATGCTAAGTTTTGAGCTCTAAGAATAGGGTCTCTTTTGCTGAAACTCACATTTTAATTTTTCTCCCATCAAAATACAGGTAAACAACACGGAACTGAATAAAAAGCTCTAACAAGAGTAACTCAGAATTTAAAAAAAATCAATCTAGATCGACCCTGAAGCATGTATAATAAATGGTTGAAGTAGGGAAGAAATGAGCCAATAGGAAGACCTAAAAGCTGGCCTACCATCAATTTCAAGCTATGTTTCAAGGCATTTTTATTTTTAGGCATCTGCCTACGATTTTATTTGAATAAGGAACTCTTCAGCAGAAAGTCTGAAACAGCCCACTATTTTACAACAACTAAAAAAAATTTCCTCCTATATTTACCATTGAGTAAATACAGACAAATCTCAATGTTTTACTGGTGGTATGCTACAAAGCAAAAAATGGGTATGATCGGGTTTTGCCCATGAATTTGTGGGCCAAACTCAAATGATGTAATACAAAATTTGACTGCAGCACTGTAAAGTCCTGTTCACAGACCAGTAAGAAGACACCAGCAGTCTTCTAACTCTGCTCTGAGGAGCCATCCATGGAAGATTTTGCTTGGATAAACACAGGTAGTACAGCTTAGTAAAATGGGTTCTGTTTCAGAAAGACCTAGGTCTCAAATTCTGACTCCACCAGACAAACTAGATTTAACCAAAAGTTTAGTTTTCTTATCTGTTAAATGAGGCAAATAGTGGTTGATTCTCATGATGTCAAAGTTAAATACATATAAAGTTGTTAGCAGAGAAACAGGCTCATTTCTGAAATAAAAGCATGGGAAAAAAGTCACTGGGAAACATGTCCTCTCATTATCTCTTACAGTTTGAAAACTCTACAAATATTAAGACTCAATTAGTATATCCTTCTTTATCCCGCTGTCCATGTTAGAAACCCCAACGCCAATAAAGAGAATAGAATCAGTGCATAAAAGTGGTACAGATGTAACTCCCTCCTCCATCTCCCAATTAACTGAGATTCTAACCTGCATCTGTTCACACTCACTGTCATTCACTCCACCACTATTTCATTCTCAAAAAGGGTCTTCCTACAATACAGACTCTAAATTCTAAATTCTAAAACATTATTAACTTGTTTTTCCAAAAGTAAGTGGTTTCTTTTCCAAATTTCCCTCAAAGGCGACATACCTTTGGCTGTGATGAAACGGGAGGAGTACTAATCAAAGGTTTGATAGGGACTGTGTTAGTTTGAGGTGTGCTTATTCTTGGAGACACATACGATCTTGGGGATGATGCATCAGATGTTAAAGACATTGGAGACTGATTAGATGGCTGGGCTGTAAAAGAGTGAAGTAATTAATTTCAAATAAATCCAAAACCTCTGTAATATATGTGGGGGAGATCTTTGCATCTGTCTACATGTCCCATGTCCCCCAAAGAGAAAACTTATCTGAAAAAGTCAGAATGAGGTACTCACTGGGGCCACACTAAATAAACGAGCTGTGGGACAGAGATAAATTAGCAAACCCAGTGCAGGCCCCCTCTCTCTTTCTAAGGCTGGAGCAAGAAGGTAAGCCTGAACCTATTCTCACATGAAGGCATCCTCACCATCCTCATTTCTTCTTTCTTATTCTACATTTAGGTCCCGTTATGCCCCTTAGTCTCCTGCCTCATGAGGCTAACCAGAGGGTTATAAGAGTCTTTTCACAATTATACTTCAATTTTAGACCACGTATTCCTGCTCATTTTATCAGCTTTCTGAATTGGGGCTGGGGAACAAGTCAAAATGACCCTTTTCATTTCCCTTTTGTTCCTAAGTGTATCTCTTTCCACTGGATAGTTTCACGGAGAGGAAGGATAGCTAACTCAAGGCAGGACTCTTGAGCATTTCTGACTAGTTTTTCTAGTCAAAAACTATCTAACATCAACTTGAACCAAATTTTCACTCCTAAAATATATTCAATGTTTCACAAAGATTGAAGGCATATCATAGTTTACTTTCAGCTTTGGAGTAAAATATCTTACTAACAACTTAAATTCTGAATTATATGTATATACACTAATACAGATTTGATGACAATACTGTAAGATAAATTTCAAAGCTTGTTCATCTAAAAAGAAAAGGTAAATGAAAATACCATGGAATAAAATAATGTTAAAAATCAAACATAAAATAAAGTCATTATTGTAGCTAATGTCTTCAAACTCTTTTTAAAAACTTGTTATTAATTCCCTTCCCCAAAATCAAGATACAATTCTAGAGATGCCTAAGAATATGAATACCTTGTGTGGAGAGTTGCGCAGCTTGAGAGATCAAAGACGTTATGTTGAAAGCAGATGGTCCAGCAGTGAGAAACTTATGGATTATAGACTGCAGTGAGGCTTGTGTCACAGCTGCTGTAAGAACTAAAAACATTTCATATCTTAAATTCAAATAAAACACAGAGGCATGCATGGCATTAGCACCAACTCGAAAACTCAAGAACCACCCACCCGAAAGTGCGGTGTTTGAACCCAGAACTCTCAAAATCAAAGTCAAGAAGAAAGGCGTAACATAATAGGTCTAGACATGTGAAATGATCTGAGGCAGAGGAAAAGAAATTTAATGAGTTTATAATAAACAAAAACTGTATTCTTTACACTAAACTTTAGGTGTTCAGTTAAAAAAAACTCCTCGATGAGACTCTTTAAAAAACAGTAAAGTGTGTTCACTGGAACTTCTGATTATACCACAAACCTATCCATATAAAGTGTGGAATACATGACACGGAATTAACTGGATAAATGGTAGCTATTTCATGTAGCTGGTTTATGAGACAAGCTAACCATGCCCTACATCAGCACCCACCCCAACAATCTTATAAAATGGATATTAAAAAGCTGAATACTTAGGAATATCATGTATTTTTGAAGCATAAGATCTTTGATTATTGACATTTTCCTACGCTACCGTTTCTTCAGTTTGTTGCCCCACTTTGCCTAGTAAAACGTTAACAAATGAAAGAATGGCACTGCTATCTTAGAGAATAAAATCAAAATACAGAAAAGTTGAGGACAATAAGAATAGAAGACTAATGACCAAGTAGCCTGAGATAGCTCCATTTTTAGGACAATGCTTGAAGAACTTAACGACTTAACACTATCAAATATATTATATCAAAGTGTACACAAACAGAAAATTTTGCAACGCTCTTCGTATTTAATGGTTGAATCTGAATGTTTTACGAATTAAAACTACATCCACTTTTATTCAGACTTCTTTGAGGTGGCTGCCTAAATACTTTAGTAGCATACTGAAATGCAAGGTTGGAATTAACAATGCAATAAACTAGGAAAAATAACAAAATGTTATCTATTACCTCCCTTCTCAAATTTTTTCCAAGTATTCTAAGAAGGGACTACCCGAATTCCTACTCTTTTAGTAACTAGCATATTTTTAATATTCCAAATAATTAATTACCCATACCAGAAGGTTTTTTTTGAAATATGGCGGATATCAATTTTTTTATATCGGTTTTAGCAAACGTTCTTTGCTTCATTTTTACTTAAAAAAAATCACCACAAACATTAAGCAGGCAGAACAGTTTATCTTCAGTAACTACCAGGTACATAGTAAGTCTTGAAAACTATATAGAAAATCCAGGCTATTGCTAACTTGATTACAACACCAAAGGCCTTAAACTGTGGGGAATATAAATTTCAAAGAATGAAGTTCAAATGGGCACTTCAAAATGAAACAAAGACTGTTCCTAAACTGAGGATTTAGTTACTAGTTACATAATTTTGCAAAATGCACATGGATTTTTAAAACTTGTTACTATGAAAATTTACCTTCATTTATTTTGGATATGTCCACATTAGAATTATTAAGTTGCAGTGTGGCTTGCAAAGCAGGAAGCAACTGTCTAAGAAGATTTGGGTCCTGAAGTAATGGAGGTATTGGTGACTGTGGAACAGGAGAAACAGGGATTGCTGAAGCAGATGTTGGAGGTGCAGATGTGGGATTCAGTCCAGAGGCAGAAGACGTGGAAGGAGTTGTGCAAGAATGTGATACAGATTTGTCTCCTGACGTAGATTCTAGATAAAAAGGAAATAACACGGCTGAAAAAATTACTTGAAAAGAGGAAACTGGAACCAACACCAAACAAGCAACTTCCATGTACCAGGCACCTAACTCAAGTAATCTCATTTAATCTCTACAAAATAGCACACAGAGGGGGCTGCTCAGTAAGTATCTGACTAGAAATAATGAGGTATGCATTTTTATATCCCTATTTCATAGGTGAGAAAATTGAAGAAGAAAGATTACATAACTTGTTTCAAGTCACAAGACCTGGTAAAGGAATAATTCAATCCCATCCATGTCTGATTTCAAAATTACCATACTGTTTATTAGTAATGCTGTCTCAAAACACAGTTATGTACTAACCACACAATCAAGAAGCTTCTGTTAGGATAAAAGGACAATTCTCCAGAATTTAACTTATATGTCTGATACAATAAGGTGAAAGTGTTTATGACCACAAAAACAACATGACAGTGACTTTAATACAAATCAGGATAGGTACCACAGTGAGCAACCCCATATGGGCTAAGGATATTGATAAGAGGAGACTCCTACTTTGAACTTCCTATCCTTAACTATTAAGCTTTAGAATTACATCTTTTCCTTTTGTAATTAAATATATAAGGCAATGAGCTTTTTATCATTTAAAGATTATTAGCACTAAAAATGACATTTTTAATTGCAAAAAAAACCCCCACAAAATCCCCAGCCTCACTATTTTAAAAAAATTAAAAATGTGTAAAATATGCATGAAAATTCTATTACCTGAAAGCTGTGATTGTAAATTATTTATAAAGAGTCAATACAAGTGCAATCAAAACCCCAATAGCATTTTTGGTAGCATTTGACAGGCTGATTCTGCAACTTATTTGAAAGAAGGAAAGGCTAGTAACAGCCACAAAATTCCTGAAGAAAAAAACATGGCTGGTGACGTGCCTTAAAGATATAAAACATTTATTTAAAACAAAACCAATTAATGGTAGACTAACCTTTTTTTTTTTTTTTTAAATATATTTAAGTCTTTAGAACTAGAAGAGGGAAACAGAGGAAGGTATCTTTGACATCAGGATGCAGAAAATTACAAAAACCAAAAATTAAACCTAAAGTATTGGTAACCAAAATATTTTAAGGCACTCCTGTAAATCAAAAAGGACATTCATAGAAAAGCGAGCAGAAGACATGAAATGAAAAGACATTTTACAGAAGGAGAAACCTGAATGGTTAAACAAACTGAAAGACACTCAACTTCACTGATAATCATGAAAATGCAAATTAAAGCAACAGGATAGCCTTTCCCGCTCACCAGATTGACAATAATTTAAGTCTGACACGGGCCAGCCTCGTGGCCAAGTGGTTAAGTTCCTGCACTCTGCTTGGGTGGCCCAGGGTTTCGCTGGTTCGGATTCTGGGTGCAGACATGGCACCGCTCATCAGGCCATACTGAGGTGGCATCCCACATGCCACAACCAGAAGGACCCACAACTAAAAATACACAACTATGTACCAGGGGGCTTTGGGAGAAAAAGGAACAATAAAATCTTAAATAAATAAAGTCTGACAACATCAAATGTTAGCAAGCAGTAATGGGAACACTTAACATTTCTAGTAGAGACTAAAACGATCTAATCACACTGGAAAAATAAGTTGGCGTTATCTAGAAAAACTGTAGATGCACACGCTTCATGACCCAGTAATTCTCCTTAGGTACACACCCTTAGAGAAACTCTGATTTACATAAATCAGAAGAAACATTCGACAATTTTTATAACAGTATTTTGCTTATTTTAGCAAAAACTAGAAACAAACCAAATGTCCACCAACAGGAAAATGAACACAAATTGGTATCTTCATACCATGGGACTTCACTAATACAGTGACTTTAATGGAGGTAAGAGAGAATTAGAAACAGAGGTCCCATGGTAACGACATTAAGACTGGACTATTCAAGATGTTCATACATCTTCTCTCACAATATTGACCTAAAGACTAAATATGAAAATTTGCTAAAGTATCTTTAATTTTCCATACATACTCATTTCTTGAAGATTTTCAAGCTCATATATATGTTATATCACTGAATTAAAACTGCTATTATGATGTATAGAAGTTTTAGGAACACTGCATTTGAATATTACACTGCTACCTAATAACTAGATGTTCATTTTCAATTCTAGGAACTAAATATTCATTAACCTTCATGGTCCCAGAGATGCTGGGAATTACTAAGCAAGCTTATTGAAAAGGGACACCTCTATCAGCCTTTTTACACCACTCCTGTAAGAGTCCAAAGAACTAGGGGAAATAGCTCTTACAACATGGACCTCATAGCTGCTTTAAGTTCATTTCAAGGATGTGCTGATCAATTATGATGAACTCAGAAGGCCTAAGACATTTTAATTTTTATAAGGCAGATACTTTAATTCTCCTAATGCATACATTTTAAAAGACGGTCCATAAGTCTAAGAGACCACCTATCATTTTCAGCTTTGCTGTTTTGGATTCACAGACAAGTATAAACTTGAATGAACTAAGATTTTCCTTGTGAAAACCTGCTGTCAGTTATTACATTGTATGGGGCAATTATAGACTACAGGAGCAGTTTTCTCCAGATCATATCCCTTAAGATTCAGCTTAGGGGCGTCTTGATTTATGATTAGAATGAATCAAGTTCTGTATTTTTACATCCTGCATGAACAATTAAATTAGTACTTAGATCCCTCTGCAATGATCCTTACTCCATTATTACTTTTACTGTGGTTTTTGCCTGCTTTCAATGACAGGAGTTGGAAAAGAAGGTGTGAGTTGTTTTCAAATTTGTTTTGGTGCTGCTAAATCTATCCACAGATTTGAAAAATTAATACAGGCTTGAAAATTCTTCAATGTTGCTTTTAATGCAAGAAAAGGAAACATTCCAAAATAAGGAAACTAATACATATTACCATACAGAAATAAAGTCACAAAAACTAAACATCCTTAAGTTGTGATTTTAATACGGAGAGATTTCTTCTGAGAGCTTTGTGAGAGACGATGGATGAAGAGCAAGGCAACCAGTTGATACTACTTAATACTTATGGGACCTTCGAGCAAGTGACATTTCTGAAAGCCAGAATTTCTCTATTAAAAAGTCTGATTTTGAGGGGCTGGCTCTGCAGCCGAGTGGTTGGGTTTGCGCGCTCCGCTGCAGGCGGCCCAGTGTTTCGTTGATTCGAATCCTGGGCGCAGACATGGCACTGCTCATCAAGCCACGCTGAGGCAGTGTCCCACATGCCACAACTAGAAGGACCCACAACTAAAATATACAACTATGTACTGGGAGGCTTTGGGGAGAAAAAAGGAAAAAAATAAAATCTTAAAAAAAAAGAAAAGTCTGATTTTGAGTATGAGTTTTCAAAAAGAAATGCTATCACAATCACCTGAAAATTAAAAAAAAAAACACAACAGGCTGGCCAAGTGGCGCAGTGGTTATGTGTGCAAGTTCCCCTTCTCGGCAGCCTGCAGTTCGCTGGTTCAGATCCCGGGTGTGGACATGACACCACTTGGCAAAAGCCATGCTGTGGTAGGCATCCCACGTATAAAGTGGAGGAAGATGGGCATGGATATTAGCTCAGGGCCAGTCTTCCTCAGCAAAAAGAGGAGGATTAGCAGTAGTTAGCTCAGGGCTAATCTTCCTCAAAAAAAAAAAAAAAAAAAAAAACACAAAAAACAAAAAACAGATACCAGGGCTCCATCCCAGATCTAATGAACCTGGGGAGACCCAAGCATATGTTGAACTTGTAAGAAAGAGCTCTATGGGTGATTCTGGCACCCCTTGCTGGTTATGAAAAAACAGATCAGAGAACTTCCCAAGATTCCTTTTAAGTTTAAAAACAAAATGAAACACAACCAAAACAAAATTAAAAACACAGCACAAACATGGAGGACTGAATGGAGAAAGGGTAAGATCAAAGACAGAAAAGCTAACCTACACTTTCTGGCAGGTATTCAGCATGCTATTTTCACTAGTAAAAAATAGCTCCATTCATCCCCTCTCCCTAAAAGACAACCATACAAAAGCCCATCCAAAGCATGTTTTAATATTATTTGCCTCAATCTACAAGCAAAATGGAAAATAACTGACTTATTTAATAATTAATATAAATATAAAATGCTATCTTGAAAGGTAATCTTAGTTTCATCACTAAAATATTATAAAAGCAAAGTATCGGTTAGGTGCTCCTCCTGTGTTCAGTGAGCCCTAACACAGATCTATTTATCTTACCCAGAATCTTCTATTATGTAGTTTACCATCTCTCCCTTCTATGAGAAAATGAACTCCTGCAGGAGATGAATTTTGTTCTATCACTGTAGCCCTGGTACAAAATGAGACTTGGCACCAAGATGGCATCAACACGTATTTGTTGACTGGATGCCTGATTCTGCAATAAAAGCCCAGGTGCATGTGAATGTGCTCTTTCACTTAACCTCTAGTCTCAAAACGTTGGCTAACAGGGAGGAGAGTCGAAGGTCTCCATAAATAATTGACAAAGCAGACAATAAATGGCTCACTTCATGCTATTTTCATAAAGCTGAGTAACATTATACAGTCTTTGAGACAAATTTAACTCATTTGGACTTATTTTAAATAATCTTATAAAATAATCAACCACTTTTTCCCGCCCCCACACAAAGGCAACAAAGCTACTGTTTGAAACAAGTACACAATCACTGAGTGTCTTTTCTACACAGATATTTAATTTTCATTAGCAGTTCTATTTGTCTAAAACCTTTTAATCTAGAATGTAATCTGTTAGGATGTGAGGTTAATACACCTAATCACATGTTCGTACAGATTTTTTTTTTTTAAGGAAGATTAGCCCTGAGCTAACTGCTGCCAATCTTCCTCTTTTTGCTGAGGAAGACTGGCCCTGTGCTAACATCCACGCCCATCTTCCTCTACTTTACATGTGGGACGCCTACCACCGCATGGCTTTTGCCAAGCGGTGCCATGTCCGCACCTGGGATCCGAACCGGA